CAGAAGGGCTCTGCACAGGAATAGTGGCACTGATTGGGGGATGCAGGAGCTGGGGGCTATTGCCTGGGAGTGGATGACCTATTCCAGAACCTTCCAAGAAAGTCTTCAGGGCTTCAGTTTGTCAGGGCAGGGCTACAGGGAGTTAGGAGAGTGGGGCTAGTGCATCTTTCCAGGTTGAATCAGCATGGAGGGGAGTGCTCTACCCAGGAAAGATTGTGTATGTGTGTGTGTGTGTGTGTGTATGTGTGTGTGTACAAGAACCCTCAGTGTGGGAGAGGGACTTAGCACAGGAACATTGACAGCTGTCCCTCTAGCGTTCTCTCAGAGGCCACACAACTCAATCTCTCCCTGTATGACTCTGGTCCACCTTAAGCCACTGTCCTTCTCCCAGAGCCCAGGGTGAATGCCCACGAACAAGATTTTGCACAGTCGCCCTTTAAGAGGGTGCCTGGGTTTCTCGCACACTTCTTTCTCCCTGGTTGAGGGGATCCCCAATGATTTTCTCACTATTGTCTGGATTCCTCTTCCTGGCACTGGTGCCCTGGGCCATGGAACCTGCAATGGTGTTGAGACCTCCTGGCTCCTTAAGGGATCCTTTGCAGCTGAGATATCCCTCCAGATTCTCAACTGCCTCACATGGGTGTGGTGCCAGTCCTTCTTGCATCTTTACCCTTCCTATCAGTCTCAATGTGGCTTTTTCTGTAAATGTTTGCTTATAAGATTTCTGTTTATGTAGTCTTCAGATGGTTATTCTGGTTGATTATTTTATATGTTAGTTGTAATTCCATTTTTTTCCTGGGAGGAGTTGAATGTCACTTTCACCTACTTTGCTACCATCTTGAATCCTTCCCTTCCCTTGTTAACCGTTAGGGCAGACTGTTTTTCCATGAAAGTTTTCTGCTCATCACATTTTCATATTAACAGTGAAAAACTCAACTCAGGCCCTGGACAGTTTTGCTCAGTGGTTAGAGTATCAGCCCATGGACCAAAGGTTCCCAGGTTCAGTCCCTGGCCCCGGTCAGGGTGCATGCAGGAAGGTAGCCAATCTGTGTCTCTCTTTCACATCGATATTCCCTTTTCTCTCCTCGCTCCCTTCCACTCCCTCAAAAATGAATGGAAAAAATATCCTCATGTGAGGATTAACAACAACAGAAACTCAATACCGAAAATGCCTAACCTTAGATATTGCTCTTGTATCTATGTTGTATTCTTACTGCATTCTAAGCATTTCTGACCGTGGTACTGATTCTAGGGCGTTCTTCTGATAATAATAGACTAGGTAATTCTTGTCCTTCCTGCAGAGAATAATTAGGAGAAAGAAAAGACAAAATATATCTATTGAAATCATCATAGAACTAAAAATAAAGTGAAAAGATTAGGGTTTTAAGATCTGAGAGAAGGATTCTCTGAGAAGTAATCCTTATTTGGGCTGCTGAGACATCTGAGAATCTAAAAGGAGCTTTCAGCAGACTCGTAGGGGCCCACAGAGAGGCAAACAAACAAGCAAACAAAAAACCAACCTTTTTATTGGGGTGCTAACTAACATAAGCCAGAGGCTTGCTTTCTTTATTTTTTTCTTATTAGTTTTTCATATAAAACTATGATAAGCAATCAGGGATATGAGAAGGCAAGACCATATGACAGAATATCAATACAAAAAAAAACAGACAATAGAGGTGAGCCCACATGGGATCTAGATAATCAGACACATATTTTAAGAAACTACATTTTAACTTCATGATTGAGTACAGCTGAAGAGAGCATGAATGAACTAGAAGTTGTATCACAGTATTATCCAAACTGAATCATAGAGAGCCAAAAGGTAGAAAAACAGAAAGGAATGTGAGAGACTGGCACTTCATGTAAAGGACATGTAATCGATGTCCCAGAAAGAGGAGGAAAGAAATGAGGCAGAAGTAAACCTGAGAATTTTCTAAAATAAAGAAGAAAATCTCAAGTAGGATAAATACTTGAGAAACCATTAAATGAAAAATACAGAAATCAGTCAAAATTTGGAGGCATTCCAAATGTCTGTTAACATAGTATTAACCACATATTGGAATACACCAAACAATGAAAAAGAATGAACTACTTGGTGCAATTGTTGAATGAACCTTAGAAACAAAATGTTGAGTTATGGAAACTACACCCAAGAGTACATATTATGTGATTTCATGAATGTGAAGATCAAAATAAGACAAAGCCAATTTGTGAAGTCATATAGGGATGGCTTATGGGAAATTAGGGAAGTTATTGAGTGGGTAAATACGTAAGGAAGGCTGCTGGGCTATTGAAATTTTTCTGTATGTCTATCTGGGTTGTGGTCATGCAAGTATAGTCATTGTGAAAAACATTTTATTGAGCTTTGCACTTAGGATTTATAAACTTTATGTGTACATGTTATTCTTTAACAACCAAAAAACACGTACACACCTAAGTACTGAAAGAACTTTTCACCAACAGACCCAACACTGAAGAAATATGAAAAGGTTATTTAGACAGAAGAATTTAGAGGCAGGAAGAAATGAAGAATTCATAAAAGTGAAATGGTGGATCTAAGTACTTCCTGTACTTTTGGGCAAATCACCTAACTTCTAGGTCTGTCTTCTTTTTGCATATAATGAGGGATTTGGATTAAATAATGTAATAGGCCTCTTCTCTTCAAAGTGTTTTCTGAGGATAGGGCATGGAAGAACTTGAGAGTTCTTTAAGTTTATTAATACCAAAAATAAAATAAAAACTTGATGAATTAAGAAATTTGAAATTAGGAGGAATTAAATAATGCAGTATAAGCAAAGGAAACATTTGCTTTATTTATGTATACACCAAAGCTAAAGTGAAAATAATTTCAGGACTTAATTATTGCCTTGAAGAGCAGTATAGTTGTTTTCTAAAGGGATGGCTTAGAAGTAGGAAACTTTAGCAGTAAAGAAACTTTCTTTCTGAGTACTTGGCAGTAAAATAAACCTTTTTGGCATATACTTCGTATTAACCAGCATGTCAACCTGTGGAATGAAAGAATTCCTTTGTTACTTGTTCTATTTTGGTTTTGCCTGTAAGATAAAAGATATCTGGAAATAGAACAGAGAAAATTAGAAGCAGTGGGTGGGAATTTAGAAATGAAAATAGAATTGTTAATGTTGGCAGTATGGTAAGAGGCTTTTGGAACTGTAATACGTGGAGGGGGCCATATGCCTCCTAGTGATGACAAAAACTTATTTTTGAAGAGAGCCTCGTTTCTCAAAGCTTCACCATCATCCAAGAAATGCAGAATTTCAGGCCCTTCCCAGGACCTGCTGATTTAGAATCTCTGTTTAAATAATATTCCCCAGTGATTTCATGCATGTTCAAGTTTGAGAAGCACTATTACCTGTACATCACATTTGTACCATTTTGAAGCAGCAGTAATATATGATTGGGGTAGGGCAGACCCTGTGGGAAATCTTTCCTGAGTAGTCCACCGCCTATATTAATGTCTATGAAATAATATTTTAGAAGACTGGGAAGTAATTGTGGAAAGACTTGCTTTAAAATGTTACATCCAGCCCTGGCTGGTGTGACTCAGTTGGTTAAGCATTGTTCCCATGCACCAAAATGCTGCCAGTTCGATTCCCAGTCAGGGTACATGACCATGTTGCGGGCTCAACCCTCGGTGGGAGGCATGCAGGAGGCAGCTGATCAATGTTTCTCTCTCTCCCTCTCTCTAAAAATCATTTTTTTTTATCTTAAAAAAAAAAAAAGTTACATCTAGCATGGCCAGAATGGCTCAGTTGGTTGAACATGATCCTGTGCACCAAAAGGTTGCCGGTTCAATTCCCAATCAAGGCACATGCCTGGGTTATGGGTTCGATTCCTGGTCGGGGCACATACAGAAAGCAACCACGATCAATGTTTCTCTCTCTCTCCTCTCAGCATGTTCTTGGGTGAGGATTTTTTTTAAAAGGATATTAAAATATTATGCCTAAATTACATGTATTTCAGAGTATTTTGGAGGGAAATATTTTGATGTCTGCATACTACTTGAAATATATAAAATTATTAGAAGGATGTATAGATAGAAAGATATGTTAAAGCAAAAATAGTAAAGTAGTGTTGAGGGAGGAAGAAGAGGGTAAAGGGGGTCAATTATATGGTGATGGAAAGAGACTAGACTTTGGCTGGTGAGCACCCAATGCAGCATGCAGATGTATTGTAAAATTGTGTGCCTGAAATTTACATAATCTTATTAAACAACGTTACCCGGCTATCTGTTAGGGACTCCTCTTGCTGCAGCGGGAGCTTTTGTCTCTCCTCTCCTTCAATAAACTTTTGCTTTCCCTTAAAAAAAAAAAAAAGTTACTACCCCCCTCCCCAAATTTAATTTTTAAAAAATTGTAGAATCTATTTGGTGAGTATATAGGAGTTAACTATAAAATTCTTTCGACTTCTCTGTATGCTTTCAGTTTTGCATAATAAAATGTTTGGGGGGAAGCTGTTATGAAAACGGACCACATATACCACACTCTATAGTTATTTTTGTATTTGCATATTTTCTTTATTTTATAACGTATTTATATTTTGTTCCTAGAGAAGGAAAAGTGGCTAATATTTTTGCATTTGCCCTGCTACAAAACAAGGCTTTACTATTACACTCTCATGAGTTGGGTATTAGTCAGTTTGTAGTTTAGAAAACCAAAACACAGTTTAATATACTTGCACAGTCTAGTAAGGTCAGAGCATGCATTTTGAACCTGGGGAGTCTGACTTAAGAGATGATGGCTACCGAATTACACAACTTCAGGGCCACCGTTTACATCCTTGGCACAATAGAGTGTCATTCACTTAGAATACAAAGTGGGTAGTTCCCTTGGGATTGTGTAACAAGATTGCCTGGCCTTAACCACTTGCTTATATAGCTACCTCACTATTCTCTTAGACTTGTAGAAAATGAAAATTTTAAATATTTTTCTGATGTGAATTTTGAATTGTTCCATGACTTTTTCGTGTTTTATTTTTTTAAGATTCCTGGATCTCCCAGTCAGCATCATTTCCGCGTAATCAAAAACAGCCAGGGGTAAATTCTTTATCACCAGTGGCCTCGCTTCCTAAACAGATTTGCCAGCCTTCAGCCCAACAGCAGCTTACTAAACCAGCTAAAATCACTTGTGCATACTGCAAAAAACCTTTACAGAAGGGACAGACAGCTTATCAACGAAAAGGATCTGCTCACCTCTTTTGTTCTACCACCTGCCTTTCCTCCTTCTCTCATAGGTGTACTCCAAAAAAACGCAATGTAACATGTAAAAAGTAAGCTTCACTTTCCAACATGGTTCCATATGGTTGATATTGACAGTGTATATGTGTGTTCTGAATGTAATTGGAGAGCTGCATAAATTCATGGGTAGAATTGTTGCAGAGGTGTTCTCAAGTTTATTGAGCTTGAGTTATCCTAGAGTTTGTCAGAGTTGTGGGCTCATTTGTACTGTCCTTACTCTTGGCAGGAAAATGGAGTATACATATGGAAATTAATTGATCTCTCCCTGCCACTGACTCTGCCTCTAGCCCTCCCTCCCTCCCTCATCTCCTACTTCGGTTCTACCAAGTTGCTACCACCTTTTTTTTTTTAATCTTCACCTGAGGATATGTTTTTGTTGATTTTAGAGAGAGAGGGAGAGAAACATCAATGTGAGAGAGAAACATCAAGCCCTAGTCAGTTTTCTCAGTGGTTAGAGTGTCAGCCCTCGGACTGAAGGGTCTCAGGTTTGATTCCAGCCAAGGGCACGTACCTCAGTTGCAGGCTCCATTCCTGGCCCCTGTCAACCCATGAGCGTGATGCAACCAATCAATGTGTCTCTCTCACATCGATGTTTCTCTCTCTCTCTCTCTTCCACTCTCTCTGAAAAGCAATGGCAAAAATATCCTCAGGTAAGGATTAAAAAATAATAATAAAATAAAAAGCTTATGATTTTTAAAAAAACAAAGAAAGAAGAAACATTAATTGGTTGCCTCTCATAGACGCCCTGACCAGGGATCGAACCTGCAACCTTTTTGGTGTACGGGATGATGCTCCAATCACTGGGCAACCCAGACAGGGTTTGCTACCACCCTTCTGATTGCTTCTAAAAGTCATCAAACCTATGGCAAGTTTCTTATGATGCAAAGTATTTTTATTTCCAAATCTTCTCTTCTTATTTTATTTAGGACCTCTTGGTGATGAAACAAAAAAGTGGATTTTGCTAGATCCACTCACTGTAGTTGATTCCTAGTGGTAAATTATAAGAAAATGAAGACTGTCCATTATTTTTCATATATTTGAAAATAAAATGCAGTGTTCTTAATTGTGTTTATCCCTGTGTTTCAGGGATGCGCCTACAAAAAGGGCTACTTTTGTTCCTCAAGTGCAGTCGAGCCAGCCCTTCCAGGAATTCTGTAGTACCTACTGTGTATCTCCTTACGAAGATAACCAGAGTCTCAGAAAAAGAATTTCGAATAAATCAAGATGTACAATCTGTAGTAAACTAACAGAGGTATGAATTTTTCTATCTTAAGTTATTATGTAGGATAACTTTAATATATTTTTTAATTGATTTTAGAGAGAGAGAGGAGGAGAGGGGGAGAGAGAGACGTCAATGAAGAGAGAAACATTGACCGGCTGCCTCCTGCACGCTCCCCTACCAGGGATCTATCCTGAAACTCCAATGACCTCTTGGTGCATGGCATGATGTTCAACCAACTGAGCCAAACTGGACAGGGCTCTTGGATAGCTTTAACTCCTAAGTGGTATTCTGTGCTCTGCCATCGACATAATGCACATGTTCTGAATCTACACAGTGAAGTTAAGGGAAGGAATAAGGATATGTCAGAACGATCTTATAAACAAATGTCCTGTTTGCATAGTATGAAAAATATACATCTGTTTCTATGGAATTGAATGTACTCATCCACAGAGCAATAGTTCTAAGGTAGATTTTGTCTTACTAGCCACAATAAATTAAAATGTAGGTTCAGGACACAAAGAAAGCAACCAGTCCTGGAGCAAGAACATATAGAATATGTGGACTGAAAGTATGTTGATAACTTCACATTTCTTAAATAGTATTGCCATCCTTCCAGTTCTTGAAAGAAGAAATGCCTGCAGGCAGTCTTCACTTGGTGTTGGTTCCCTCAGAGCCATGCAAATCCAGGACACAATTTTATCTCAGTTACCACAGAGCTGAGTGAAGCAAGAAACACTTAGTCTAGTACAGGTATGTACTAGACTGGCCCTCAGGCTGTATACAGCCTGAGAAATCATTTAGTCTGCCCCTGCCAAGACAACTGCAGGCGAGACTCAAAATTCAATAAATTTAGGAGCTTTTTGCATAGCTTATTTTTACGTTGATCATTTTGTATGGCCTGCAGATGGGGTTATAAATATCCAAATGGCCCTTGGCAGAAAAAAGGTTCCACGCCTCTGGTCTAGTATATACAGACACCATCCAAATATGAAACACTGATTTCATTAGTCCCTCCAACAGATTTCCTAGGACAGTGAAGTTTATGAGACTAAGAATTCTCATCCATTTCTTTTAAGCAGGTGTTATCAAAATCTTCTAAATCAGTTCATTTTCTGGAATGCTTAAGTGTCCCTGGGGAAGTTATTACTGATTTTATTGCTTTTTGTTCTATGAATCTTATTTTCTTTTATAAAATCAAAGAATGATTTTATAAAGAAAGATGAAAATGAAAGAATAATGAAATGGCCTTTTTAGTCTTTTCCCTGAATATTTTTTCCACTGAGAAGTTACTACAGTTTCTTTGTTTCTGTTGAAGAAACTAGTTATCTCATTGCTTACTGTGCTAATCTGGCTTATTTATTTAGTATATTCTTGTTTTTCTTTTAGATTCGTCATGAAGTCAGCGTTAATAATGTGACACATAAACTGTGCAGTAACCATTGCTTTAACAAGTACAGGTTGGCTAATGGTCTGATAATGAATTGCTGTGAACAGTGTGGAGAGTACCTGCCGAGCAGAGGTTCTGGAAACAGTGTCCTGGTGATTGATGGCCAGCAGATGAGATTCTGCTGCCAAAGTTGTGTTAACGAATATAAACAGGTAATTCTTTTAATGAATTTTAGATGTTCAGGTATACAGTAACTTCTACCTGTTAGCTTACATTAACCAGATTGATCTTAGAATCTTATTAGTTCCACTTTTGTCAATCTGTCACTGAGCTGTCCCATCTCGAGTATTGAAATCTATTGTTGTAAATAAGTTTGTTTAAAGTCTTTACTCTTTGCATCCATTACAACAAATAATTCTTTTCTCCACCATTTTGTACTCCCATACTCCCACTGACAACTCAACAGTTCCAGTTAATTCACATTCTCACAAAAATTTGATGTTGTCTGTTACTGTTTTTTAATTGATTTTAGAGAGAGAGGAAGGGAGAGGGAGAGAGAGAAACATCGATGAGAGAAAATATATTTAAATGAAAAAAAGAGAGAGAACCCGGCCAGGTGTGGCTCAATAGCTGAGCATTGACCCCTAGGATCCAGGAGATGGAGGTTCGATTTCCAGTCAGGGCACATGCCCAGGTTGAGGGCTCAATCCCCAGTAGGGGGTGTGTAGGAGGCAGCCAATCAGTGTTTCTCTCTCTCTCTTAAAATATATCTTTATTGGTTTCAGAGAGAGGAAAGGAGAGGGAGAGAGTTGAAACATCAATGATGAGAGTCATCATTGATGAGCTGCCTTCTGCACGCCCCCTACTGGGGATCGAGCCAGCAACCCGGACATGTGCCCTGGCGGGGAATCAAACCAGTACCCTCTCGGTACATGGGATGACGCTCAACCACTGATCCACACCCGCCAGTCGGTGTTTTCTGTTTTGATTTAAGGTATTCTAGTAGATATGAAATGATTATTTCATGGTTTTAATTTGTATTTCCCTGATAACTAACATTCCCCTTTCATCACTCAAATACCTTCTTTTGTAAAATGTCCCTTCAAGTCTTCAGCTCGTATTATTGCATTATAACAATTCTTTATATATTCTGGATTCATATCTTTTATAAAATAAGTATATTGAGAAGATGTTCTTCTGGACAGTGTTTTGTGTTTTCATTTTCTTTGTGTTTATGAAAATCCCAAGTTTTTAATTTTGGTAAAGTCTAACTTACTATTTGCTTTTCTGATTAATATTTTTTGCATGTTTTGTTTGTTTGTTTGTTTTTTAAAATATATCTTTATTGATTTCAGAGAGAGGAAAGAAGAGGGAGAGAGAGAGATCGAAACATCAATGATGAGAGAGTCATTGATCAAGCCCGCAACCCGGGCATGTTCCCTGACCGGGAATTGAACCCCGATCACCGGGATCCTAGGTCGACTCTCAACCGCTGAGCCATGCCCGGCCGGGCTTTGCATGTTTTTTAAAGGCATCTTTGCCTACCAAAGTTATGAAGATATTTACCTTTATTTTCGCCCCAATCAGGACACATGCCCAGGTTCCAGGTTCAATCCCAGTTGGGGTGCATATGGGAGGTAACTTATTGATGTCTCTCTCCCTCTTCCTTCTCCTTTCTCTAAAATCAGTAAAAACATATAAGCAATTTAATTCAAGGTGGATCATAAATATAAAACCAAGAACATTCTTCATCCTCATTGGATAAGGATTTAAGTGGTTAGCTTTTAGAGAAAAGTAACTCAAGTGCAAGGCTTATTGAACAATAGAGGAAACAGTAGATTACCATAGTTGACTATAAGTTTTTGCAAGGAAAGCTAGTTTATGTTTTTATTCTTTTCTTTATATATATTTAACTAAGCTGTTGGATGTGGCTTATAGGAAAGCACAGTGAACAGTTAAAAAATGGTAAAAAGACAGCGTAGATCTTTTCAAAAGAGTACATGACAAAAATCTAGTAAACTTCAGATTGGCAATAAACAGTTATGTTAGGTCTTACTATTTTTTCAAGTCTTTTTTAAAATTTTTTTATTTTTATTATTATTATTTTAAATATACCTTTATTAATTTCAGAGAGAGGAAAGGAGAGGGGGAGAGAGAGAGAGAGAGAGAGAAATATCAATGATGAGAGAGTCATTGATCGAGCCCACAACCCGGGCATGTGCCCTGACCGGGAATCGAACCCCGATTGCCTGGATCCTAGGTGGACGCTCAACCGCTGAGCCACGCCCGGCCGGGCTCAAGTCTTTTTTTTTTAATGGATGATTTATCTATCTGCTTAGACTATGAGTTTTTGCAATAAGCTCATAATCTTCAGACAGATAAAATGCTTTAGCCTGTGAAAAGCATAAGGCTTGCACATAAATTATCAATTCTTTACTCCTACACAAACACCAGAGGAGGTAAAAATGGACAAACATGGAGATTCAAAATAAGCAACAACCATATACCCAGACTTTCTTGAATAACTAAATTGCCAGCCACTCTGATCCCCAAAAGAAAGTCTGTCCATCCTACCATGGGTGTATCAGGAGTGCAAAATAGCTCATAAACAGTTGACAGATGGAGGGGTGGTATTTCCATTAATGCAGAAGTTTTATAAATGTGTTACCACCACCACCACATTGGGGGGGTTTTTGTTTTAATCCTCATCTGATGATATGTTTTTACTGATTTTCGAGAGAGAAAGGAAGAGAGGAAAACATCAATCAGCCGCCTCCCCTACGTGCCCCAACCAGGAATGGGACTCACAACCTAAGTATGTGTTCTGACCAGGAATCGAACCCACAATGGGATGACGCTCTAACCAACCAAGCAACCCAGCCAGGGCCATACTGATATTTTTTGGTTGTGTTTTTTTATTAGGTTTTCATTGATTTTTTTTTTTTTTTTTTAGAGAGAGAAAGGAAGAGAGAGAGAAAAGCATCAGTGTGAGAGAAACATCGATTGGTTGCCTCCTGTATGTACCCCAACCAGGGATGGAACCCGCAACTTGGGCATGTGCCCTGATAGGAAATTGAACTGGTGACCTTTCAGTGCATGGGAGGACCCTCAACCAGCTGAGCCACATCGGCAGGGCGGGCCACATTGGTATTTTTAAGTGATATGTGTCAGGCCTTGTCACATTAGAAAGCCTTTATCTGTGAAGACCTTAAGGAAAAACTGAAGTTTTATGGTCATAAAATGGATAGCCCTACTCTTGGTCTTTTCCAGGGACCTAATCAGAGATGATTTTATCCCCCTGGAAACATTTGGCAATGTCTTAAATAATTTTGATTACCACAACTGGGTTGTTGCTGCTGGCATCTAGTGGGTGCCAGGGATGCTGTTGGACACCCTGCAACACACAGGACAGTCCCTACAACTGAGTTATCTGGCCCAAGACATCAATAGTGCCAAAGTTAGCAAATCCTGTAACCAAATGATAAGTAGGTGCTGGAATGTGTGTGGTAAGTATAGTGAGAAGAAGGAGATCTAAATTCCCCTCCTCCTCATTGAAAATTCAATTGATGATGCCTAAAACTGGGAGGAAAAATCAATAAATAGTGATGCAGACATGTTACTTTGATATTTCAAAATAAAACCAAAAGAACCAGCTAAATGTGTTCAAAGTAGTTTAACTTTTGGGAAAGGGGACTATAGGGTGTCCCCAGAAAATGTATATACTTTGAATGACTATAAAGTCAGTGTTTGTTTGCTTTTAATATAGTTAATTTTCAAAATTTAAAAGTCTACAGAAATGAATAATTTTTTTTATCAACGCTTGTTTTTTAAACTGATGACCATTCTGGCCCAGGCACTGCTGATAACATGAAGCAATGGAATCGCAAACATCAAGAATCACTACATTCAATATTTGCGCACCCTAATTCGTTAACTGTTGTTGGTTTTGTACCAATTAACAGAAGATCATTTCACTCTCAGAAGTGAAAGATAAACTTTATCTTTTTTTTTATTTAAATATGTCCTTATTGATTTCAGAGAGAGGAACAGAGTGGGAGAGAGAGAGAAACATCAATGATGAGAGAGTCATTGATCAGCTGCCTCCTGCACACCCTCCACTGGGGAAGAGCCTGCAACCCAGGCATGTGCCCTGGCCAGTAATCGAACCCCAATCTCCTAGATCATAGGTTGATGCTTCCTCGATCCCCAGCGGGAGGCATGCAGGAGGCAGCCGATCAATAACTCATCATTGATGTTTCTATCTTCCTCTCCCTTCCTCTCTCTGAAATCAATAAAATATATATATATATATATATATATATATATACACACACACACACACACACACACACATATATAAAGTCTAGTGGCACTTTAAGATAAATTTTCTTCGTTCAAAGCGTAGTCTCACTTCACCCATTATTTCAAATCAGTTAAAGCTGAAAAGGAGTGAAAATTAAGTGAATTATCAGCTGTTAAAGTGTGTATACATATTTTTGGGACACCCTATATTTGTTTTTATTAACCAGTTTTAACTAGTTGATGCTTTATATTAAATGTATTTTCAATTTTGATTAAGTGAAACTTTACAATATTTTAAAGTTACTGAAGTTCAGAGAAAACATCTTAGCCAGAATCACAGCTAGGTTTGACCTCACATAGGAAACCTTACTTAGTGCATGATAAGAAACATTTGATTATATGTGTGCCTCATTTCCCCAAATAAGCTGTAAGTTCCCTGAGGCCAGGATCTATATCTGATTCTTTCAGAAGTCTCCAGAATAACTAGCCTTATATATGGGGTGACCAAGCCACTTGGACACTTCTGAGAGTGAAATGATCTTCTGTTAATAAACATAGTGCTCTCCATCTTGGTACTTTCTTTCCCAGTGATTCCCGCCCCCCACCCCCATTTTTAGAGACTTTAGTTAATTGGTGCCTATCACCTGCCTTTTATTTGGCTTCAGTTTTCATCCAGGTCCTCAGTAAAAATGTTTGTGTGACAGAAGAATGTAATACTCCACTGAAGTAGTTTTGAACTTAATTTTCAAGGAATCTCAGATATTTGTTCCTGGAGAGACAGCCTGAATAATGCGAATGGGGAGAGACATTTTAACCTTCAGCTATGGTATACGGCAGAAAATTTATGCACCAAGGAGTAGCTGAATCAACTACCTATCTTTATCATCAGTTCTTCACTATCAGACCCTTTTCAGTAATTGTCACATATTTACGAATCTCCTTGTATGTATGTATGTATGCTAATAAGGTCAACTAACATGAGTTTACTATGATGCCAGATACTGCTTTTCATGTATTTTCACATTTAATCATCTTATGTCTGCCTAGTTAAGTACAATTTATGTCCCCATTTTATTGGGAGGAAACTGAAGCTTAGGTGATTAAGTGACTTGCCCAAGGTAATATAGCTGGGAAGTGTCCCACCCACTGAGAATGACAACAACTCGACTACCTATTCATTACCAAGAAACTCAGGAAGGAAAGAGATAAGACCAAAGCTTGGGTTGGGCTGTGTAAAAATTAAGTCTGTGGTTCTTGACTTTCTGTTTCTTTTTTATGTACTCTTGTAGTACAGTCTTCGCCACTCCCATAGTCTCAATTAATATATATTTTGATGACTTCCGAAATATCTGAAGATCATATTTCTTCAGTTTCAGACCATCTGTAATCTCCACTTCAATGTATTACATCCCTCAAACTCTATCTAAATCTGAAAAACCAAACCTGCTTTCTTTACTTCTTTCCCTTTTCAGTAAATGATCCCATCATCCATTCAGGGCAGACGGGAGAGGGAGTCATTTATTTATTTATGACAAATATTCCACATTTATGATCCTCTCCGGTCAGAAGTTCTTTGAAACCTATTCCTTGAAATCATCTGATTCACCCATTTTAGTGTCATTCTCTACACTTCCCTCTTCTCAGTCTCCAGAGTCACTCAATTACCAACTGATCCAGATTCTACTTCGTAAATATGTCTCGACTCTATCCTACCTCTATTCCTGTTATCTTAGACATAGCCTCCATCCTCTTGCCAGCCTTACCACAGCTTCCTGTCTCTGTACGCTTGGCCTTCCTTACAGTGGGCAATCTGTATTACAATCAGAGTGATCTTTCTAAAGTACAGATTTGATTATGTCACTTAGGGTTTGGCCAGTGACGCATGCTGTGAAAGAATTTACAACTAAAAGAAGAGATGCAGAGAGGAAGTATATTCTACTTTCCACAAGGGGAAAGGGCCAAGTATTGCTAGTCAATACAGGGCAAGGAATAAAGGGGGGGTTTCTACTTTTAAGCAGTGGCTGTTGCTAAGCAACAAGGAAGGGAGGGTGGGGTTTTTCTGTAGTTGAGTAGATACCAGGGCAGTAGTCTTGAAAAGTTGCAGTCTGTTTGCTTTCCAGGATGTAGACCAGCAGATGTCCTAGGGAAGTGTCTTATCAGTATCTTTCCCCAGCCTGTAGAACATGCTCTGAGCAAGAGTTATGAAGAGTTCAAAGAGGCTTGTTTAAAGAGGAGGGGGAAAGGGAGCCTTCTACTAACTAGACTCCTTGGTGCGAATTATCCCTGAGTTGTGAAAACAGTAGGGAGGAGGGGGATGCAGGAATGGAGCCTTGAGAGTAGCTTGTCTTGTCCGCAGTTTGAATACAGGGGCTGTTTGAATCAGAGGAGCCAAAAATCTTGGGGTTTAATTACCAGATGGTTGTTATAAATTGTGGAAGACCACAGCAAAGCAAAACAGAGGCCTTTATCCTGTCCTTACAGTCACTTCTGCTTTTTTTTACTTTAGTACTGTCACATTACTTCAGGATTAAATAAGAACAGAGCTCTTCGTGTTTTTGTTTGTATGTTTGTTTTTGCTTTGTTTTGTTTTAACTTCTTTTTGAAGATTTTTAGAGAGAGAAGAAAGAAGAAGAGAGAAAAACATCAATTGGGGGGATCGATCGCACAACCCTGGCTTGTGCCCTGACCGGGAATCAAACTGGCAACCTTTCAGCACACAGGATGACACCCACACTGGCCAGGCCTTGTTAGTTTTTTGAGACAGCATGTTTATAAAGCTGCAGACAGTGAAATAAGGAAGAGCTTAGGACAGAAGAAGCAACAGCAGAGAGCCTAGGAGGTGGCTGCTTTGGCCTCTAGAAATGTTAGAGGGAAGAAGTGTGCCCGGGCGGCACTACTGTCAGATCACTGGAAAGTCAGAAAAGGGGACCTTGGGGACAGGCTCAGGGTGTTAGCCCAGAACAAGCTGCCACTGCCCATTGCTCCCCTGTTGCCAGTCTCATGGGATCCCTTAGAGTTTAGGAGCTGCATGCCTGTTGTGGAAGAAGAGGGAGAAGGGAAAGGCTAGGGCCTGCTCTGGGGAGGCAGAGCACACCAGCTCTTGGTTTCTTAAGCTCCATTGTATATATTGTTCAATTGTGCTGTATACAAAACTTATAGCTATCAGGCCTTCCATACCCATTGTATACATCTTTGTTCTTTTAATCTTTATTTTGCTTTTTTTTTTTTTATTGACTCCAAAATAGGTAATGTGCCTTTTTATTAAATGGAATCATACAATATGTTGTACTTTGTGACTGGCTTTCACATACACATCATCCTGTTTTCAAGGTTCATCCATGTTGTAGCATGTACCTTTGCTTCACATTATATTGTCAAATAATGTTCCATTGTATGGATAATACCACATTTTAATTCATCCATCAGTAATGGGCATTTGAACTGTTTTCTGCTTTTTGGCTATTATGAATAATATTGCTATGAACATTTTGTATAAGTGTTTGTGTTGGCATATATATATATATTTTTTTAATTTTTTTAAATATATCTTTGTTGATCTCACAGAGAGGAAGGGAGAGGGAGAAAGAAAGAAACATCACTGATAAGAGGAAGGGAGAGGGAGAAAGAAAGATAGAAACATCATTGATCGGCTGCCTCCTGCACACACCCCATAGGGGATCGAGCCCGCAACCTGGGCATGTGCCCTGACCAGGAATTCAACCTTGATTTCCTGGATCCTAGGTCGATGCTCAACTGCTGAGCCATGCCTGTCGGGCTGGGCATATATTTTCATTTTGGAACTGCTGGGTTGTATGGTAACTTTGTTTAACTTTTGAGGAATTTTCAGACTGTTTTCCAAGCAGATATACCATTTTACTTTCCCACCATCACCTTAGGAAGATTCCCATTTTTCCACATCTTTGCTAACACCTGTCTTTTTATTGTAGCCATCCTAGTGGATGTGAAGTAGAATGTCATGGTTTTGACTTGTATTTCTTTGATGACTAATGATGAACATCTTTTCATTGCTTACTGGGCGTTTGTGTATACATTAGGTTTTTTAGTGTTAACAGTTCTAAGATAAAATTATAATCTGTTTCTCTTTAGATGCTGGAAACAAAATCAAAAAAAATATCCACATCAGAAAACAGAAAAAGGAATGCTGTTAGAGAAGAAAATGAAAGAAAACTATATGGATCATTGAATACACTTTTAGAAAAAAGAGAGAGAATACCAGAAAAAAAGGAAAAGACATCAGAGCCACAAGTATCAGCAGAGTGCAGCACAGATGCATCACTGACCAGACAGGATGTAAATTTGTCTGCTTCTGTATCCACCGTAGCTGATACATTTCATGAGCAACTGGAAGAGAAAAAGTCAGAAGATGCCACTCAACCAGTTGTACTTTCTGCAGATCCAGGCACATGGCCCCGAATTTTAAATATTAAACAACGGGACATTCTTGTTGAAAATGATCCACCTCAAGTAAGAAATTTTAACTTTCCAAAAGATAATACAGGGAGGAAGTTTTCAGAAACTTATTATACACGAATTCTTCCAAATGGTGAAAAAACCACTAGATCCTGGTTACTTTATTCAACCTCAAAAGATTCTGTGTTTTGTCTATATTGCAAACTCTTTGGGGAAGGAAAAAATCAACTGAAGAATGAGAATGGGTGCAAAGATTGGCAGCATTTATCACACATTCTTAGCAAACATGAAGAAAGTGAAATGCACATCAACAATAGTGTTAAGTATTCAAAATTAAAATCTGATGTGAAAAAAAGCAAAACTGTTGAATCTGTAGAACACAGAATACATGAGAATGAGAACAGTGAGGATGTGCTGTTGCTGTACACATGATATACCTGTCAGGATCTTATGTTAACTCAGAAGAAATCTGTACCTAATAGTCAATACCATTGTGTTGTGAGGCTTCTACACAGAGTAACTCAACAGTCCATTTGCAATGAGCATAATAGCAAATAGTAAAAAATGTTTCTTTTACAAATTCTAAAGCTAGTTGGATTCAATAGGGATTAATACAGGTTTCAATAAAGGTAGTTGTTAATTTTTTCAGTTTATCAATGCACATTTTTTTAAAATGGCATTTGAACCCTAGCTGGTTTGGCTCAATGGTTAAGAGAGTCGGTCTGTGGACTGAAGGGTACTGGGTTCAATTCCAGACAAGGGCACATACCTCTGTTGCAGGTTCGATCCCGGGCCTCTGTCAGGGCTTGGGTGGAAGGCAACCAATCAGTGTGTCTCTCTCACATCAATGTTTGTTTCTTTCTCTTGCCCCCCCCACTCTCTCTAAAAAGCAATGTTAAAAATATCCTTGGGTGAGAATTAAAAATTGGTAATAAATAAATAAAATGGCATGATAGTTTTAGTTAATTTTCTGTTCTGATTACCTTGAAAGAGGGAGAAAAAGGCTGAAATTTATCAATACCAGTTTATGTGAGCAAGATATTTATGTGAACAAGTGTTCTCATCTTTATTATTAATGTAAAAACATTCAGAAGCAATTTAAGAACAGAATGGGATATGAAACTGCAGCTTATTGCTATTAAAGCAAATACTTGTCATTCATTTCTTTTGGGTAAAACATTGTTTTATTTTAGCAAAACAGCATCATTTGTTAAATAAATGGTTAAGGTGGTTAATTTGCATTTTTTTGGTTTTAATTTGTAAATGTTTTAGCTTTTATTATATGAGAACTATAAGCATAAAGTGTATACCTATTTTTATGTTGGTACACATATACGAAATATGAAAATAAAAATATATTAAATTAACCTTTAGGTATTGTGGCATTTTTTTCCCTCTGAAGGAGACTTCCTGCTTGAAATCTGAGAAGTACTCATGAAAAGTAAGGGTCTCATTTTGTCAGATGGTCAGTCAGTGTTCTCATCACTGTATATTTAGTAACTCACTCATTGTTTTTGGTTTCTGATACCAAATTTATCATATTAAATTCTTATATATACGTAAGCTTCTCTCAAGACTTTTCTTAGGAAACAAAATAGCATATGAGCAGAAGGTGCATTCTTGTTGGTGGGGCTGACACTTGGAGTACTTGACTGTCAAAGAAGCCTGTGTTGGAACACCCAGGGAAATCATTCTCATTAATTTATAACCCTTTTTTTTTTTTTTTGCAGTGATCATTTCAATCTTTCAGACTTGGATCTGAATAAGCCTTTGGGATGTTTCCAAAAATCCAGTTTGTTTTCAGAGGCCTATGAGGAAATTCTAGAAAATATAACAGGTTGTTCTGAAGTTCCTTTGCAAATGATTAACATGCTCATTATTTCATTAAAGCTTAGAGTTAATTGAACGACACGTTTGTAATATGATTACATTAGGTAGACTGTTGAGTATCTGAGCAAAGTAATGAAGTCAACCAGCAGCTACTTAAATAATTTGGTAAGATCATCAAAAACAAAATTAGATCCTCAAATTCTTTCTTTTTTTTCAGCATACTGCACACCTCTCAAGCATCATAAACCCTTCATGCAGTAACGAGTTAAATGTGAAAAATTCAAAAGATGTAGGTGCTGGGTTTATCTGTGTTCACTGTAAATTTCTTTCAATATTTGGTATGTATGAAATTTTTCATCATAAAAGGTTGAGGGAAAATCAACTGTAAATTCAGGAGATGATAAAAGTAAATATCTCTAGGCAGGGGAATAACTTAGGTTTCTGTTTTGTTCTTTCTTAGCTAGCTCTTTTTTTTTTTTTTACATTGTAAAATTAGAATGTGCTTGCTGTAAAGAAGGAAGGCAGAACACAGAATGAGAAGGGCAAGTCTTGTTTTCTGTCCCCTACTCGCCTATTGTGGGACTGGTCACCAGTGATCTGAACTATACTCAGGGTTTGTTTTCTCTCCTTTTAATTTTACTGAGAAAAGGCATTAGAAAAATGTATCTCCTGCCACTAATTTTTTTTTTTAATCTTCACTGGAGGATACTACCATTGATTTTCAAAGAGAGTGGAAGGGAGGTAGGAGGGGAAGAGTGAGAGACACATCAATTGGTTGCCTCCCGCATATGTCCTGATTTAGGGCCCGGGAATCGAACCTGCAGCCCTTCAGTCTGGAGGCTGACACTCTAACCACTGAGCAAAACCAGCCAGAGCTTTTACCTTTAATTTAATATCCAAAATTATGAAGGACAGTTCAGAGTAACAGTCCTCAAGAAATGGTAATTTATTGTTTTACTCATTGAGGACAAGTGAAACTTTTTCATAAACCTCACAATTTCAAAATTGCCATCTTTAAAATTCTTACATTGAGCCATTCTCTTCCTCTCATCCCCTGCTCAGTGCTGTAAACTAGTGAAAGTTGCTAGTAGCCACTTTACATGTACAAGGTACAATTTGCTACATAAGATATAAAAGTGAATAAGAGGTTGAAGTAAAGAGCTCAATCAAGTTTGGTAGAAAGAGTAGTGCTATGTTACTTTAGGTCATATAACTCCTGTTTCAGAGCTTTGACATTCCCCACTGCTTCTAGTTTAAAACTCCAACTTCTTAGCGTAACGTAAGATAGGTAGCTGCAGTCATCAATGTCAGGTAATAGGGGAAAGTTGTAGACAGAACATGAAACACAAAATTTTGGAAATAGAATAGCCCTCTATAGTGTTGAATTATATATAGTGTGATTATATAAGGATGAAATTAGGAATTTGAGAATTAACTGAAAGGAAAATCTGACCCATATATCCACATCTGTTTCTGAGAAAGTAAGTTAGTTTGAGGAGATAGTAGCATAATATTGAGGACTAGAGATGGTTTTCAAAAGCTTGTAGCTATCATTACTATGAAAAGAATTAGCCAACAGGGCCGTGGCCAGGTGGCTCTGTTGGTTGTGTTACCAGACAGTTCTCTGAGTCCAGGGACAAGGGGCTTTCCGCTCCTCTGCTCTTGCCAATCTCTTGAGAAGGAATTCAGACAAGTGACAGCAGTGTTGAAGCAAAGCAAGCAAATTTATTAAGAATACACTTGGGCCCAGCCGGCATGGCTCAGCGGTTAAGCATCGACCTATGATCCAGGAGATCAAGGTTTGATTCCTGGTCAGAGCATACTCCCAGGTTGCAGGCTCGATCCCCAGTGGGGGCCTTGCAGGAGGCAGCCAATCAATGACTCATCATTGGTGTTTCTCCCTCTCCCTTCCTCTCTCTGAAATCAATAAAGATTTTTTTATTTTTTTTTTTAAAGAATACCTTTGGAATAAAGCACAAGTGTGCAACTCAACTGGTCTGAGCAAGCGGGTTGAAGGAGTTTTATATCCCTTCCCCTATAGGTTTCAAAGCTCCCTTACTGGATATCCTCTGTAGCAGACTAGGTTTTAAAGTCCCCTTGTTGTGGCTTGGAATGTTTGTAATTACACCTGCTCATCTTGTTTGGAAAGTCCTAAGGCAGCTAATTTCTTTGTTTCTTGAGTAAGATAAACTCGCCCTTCTTTCACCCTTCCCCTCCTGCCCTAGCAGCTATCTTTCCTAATGTCCCCCTAGTGATATCTGTCCTTGAGTTTAGCTGGCACAAATTGTATTAATTGGGTCTTTGTTCTCTATTTGCCCAGGCCAGAGTGATTTAAGCTATGTATTCTCTGGTTAGGGAGGAGGGTATAAACCATTTGCTCTCAAATATCTTTGGTTGAGGAAGATAAGGTCTTGCAGTTCACAAGCTGAATGCAAGCAGCCCAGACTGTTTCACCTTGTTTAATTTTCTTGTCTCAGTTTCCCCATTCCACTTGCCCAGGAATTTTCCTAACTTCTTACTATCCTGCCACAGTTGGAGCATCGTCCTGTATACTAAAAGGTTGTGGGTTCGATTCTGGGTCAGGGCTCATACCTGGGTTGCTGGTTCTGTCCCTGGTTGGGGCCCATATGGGAGGCAACCAACATTTCTCTCTTACATCGATGTTTCTCTCTCTCTCTCCCTCTTTCTCTCTCTCTAAAATTAATAACATATTCTCGCCGGTCAGCCGTGGCTCAGCAGTTGAGCATTGACCTAGCATCCAGGAGATTGCGGTTCGATTCCTGGTCAGGGCACATGCCCTGGGTTGTGGGCTCAACCCCCAGTCGGGGGCGTACAGGAGGCAGCCGATCACTGACAACTCTCATCATTGAGGTTTCTGTCTCTCTCTGAAATTAATAAAGATATACTTAAAAAACAAACATCGGGGGGAAAAGAGCCAATGGCATTTTAGGAAAAGTTTAAGGACAGACACTATATCATCTGACATAAAGAATGGTCAAGGTAGTCCTGACCTGATAGCTAACTTGATTAGAGTGTCATCCCAATGCACCAAGGTTGCAGGTTCATTTCCCAGTCTGGGCACATACAAGAATCAACCAATGAATGCATGAAGTGGAACAACAAATCAATCTCTGTCTCCTTCTCTCCCTATCACTCGCTCTTCCTCTTCTCTCTAAAATCTTTTTTTTTTAAAGGAGTGAACCAATATTTTTCAAATGACCAGTGCATGATGTTACAAAATCATACATGGCTGAAAGAATCACTCAAAGTGAAAGACCAATGAATTTTAGTGTAACAGAGCAGGAAAAGTTCATTGCTGTGGTTTCAAAATCCACATTGCACCTAATCTTTAAGAAACTACCACTCATTGAATTTTGGTGAGCAACCAAGAAAACTATCTGCAATTATCTAAAAAGGTTATTAGAATAATCCTCCCTCTTCCAACTACATATGTGTATGAGGCTGCATTTTCTGCCTGCACTTCAACCAAACAACATATCACAAGAGATTAAATGCCAAAGCAGATATGAGAACCCAGCAGTTTTTTATTAAGCTGATATTTAATACTTTTGCAGAAATGTGATGCAATGCCAGTCTTCTCACTAAATTATGTTTTGATATAGTTCACTTTCAGAGAAAAGATATGACTTATGTAAATATGTAATGAGTTTATTATTGCAACTTTAAATAAATTAATATATACATTTAAGCCCAGCCTGTGTTGCTCAGAGGTTGAGCATCGACCTATGATCCAGGAGATTGCAGTTCGATTCCAGGCCAGGGCCCATGCCCAGGTTGCCATCTCGATCCCCAGTAGGGGGCGTGCAAGAGGCAGCCGATCAATGACTCTTTCATCATTGATGTTTCTATCTCCTTCTCTCT